AAAAGCAGCGTCGATAAAAATAATTTTCTTGGCAAAAAAACACAGTTTCCCATGATTGACGTGTGAGGACGTCGGATGTATAGCGCACTAATTGATGGAAAAGTGAACATTTGGTTATCCATATAAAATATATTTCGCTATTTGAAATGAAGTTTTGTACTGTTTTATTTTAATAATGAATAAGAATATCGCTTAGAATATAGGTAGCTGATTTCAGTTCCCATTTTGAATTAAACATTTGTATGATTTTGTACTTAATAGCCATCAACGGGACCCGATATCCAAATAATCCAACTATATTTGCTGGTAAAGATCTATTGTATACTTGACATAAGTAAATTAAATCAATTTAAAAAACATTTGAATGGTAAAAGCAACAAACAAATCAATCATGAACTTGATAATGGGGAATGGATTGGCCCGAGGCTGGGTACATACTAAATTAATTGAAACCTGAAGACTGGTTTAGCGAGCATGCAAAAATAGCCCCGCAGATTTTTCTACATGTTTACCCTTTATAAACGTAATCTCTTGTGTCAACATATTTAATGCATTTTCAGGCCGATGGCTTACTTTTAATGAAATACAAGTAGATATTTTCATTGAGTATTCATCTATCTATCTTCTATTTAAATAAAAATTAATTGCTGTTCTTTAGTCTGATTAAAACTCGAGAACGGCTAGGCCGATTGAGCTGATTTTTGTTTTAAATTGTTTGTCGTAGTCCAGGGTAGGTCTAAACGGTGAGCAAATAAGAAAAAATTGCGATGGCTTATTTATTGCCTTTAAGGCGGAACAGAGTTCGCCGGGTCAGCGCTTTCCATTTCGGACGGTACAGACATGTACCGGGCCGGTTCTCCCCTATCCGTCCCCCGGACACGGCCTGAGCCGAGGTCCGAGCCTACCGTGGCGCCCTCAGGCCGCGTCCGTAGTCCCCTCGATCGGGCCCACTTAGAGTGAGCCCGCCGTAGGCTGGACTTTGGTCCAACACCGCGGTGGGCAACCCTCTAATTGGGTTCGCCACTGATCGGGCGCCTTATGCGCTCGATACGGCCCGATCGCGAACGTCGGTCTGCGACCGACGATCGCCCAACGGCTAGAGTACCTTCTGTACTCGCCACTCTGCCCGGTGAAGCTGGAAAAGCTCCTCAAGTTACCAGCGCGCGTCCCTTAAAAAAAAAAAAAGCCGGGTCAGCTAGTGAAAAATATATTCAGTATAGGCTTTTTAAAATAAGTACCTAAGTATGTACAAGTAAAAATACATGTCTGAATATAAGAAGTAAGAACCCGGTCACTTCAATGAATGATTTCATAATTTTTCATATTTTTTCATAACTGGAAGGGATTCCCTAGGTTGTCTGGAAGAGATCGCTTTATAGCGATAAGACCGCCTAAATTGCACTTGTCTCTTTTGTGTATTTCTTTCTTACTTGTTTGTGCGTGTGGTGTACAATAAAGTGTTTTTTAGCTTTTCGTTAAGTTTTATTACATTAAATAATCATTAGTGTGATAAGGACCTAAATTGTAGCTAATTAGCAATATATCCTTTGATCGCGTGATTGCCTCGTGTACGTTTAGTATACAGCTTCTGTACGTGCTTAGAACATTGTGACATTTATCAATAGTACAACCACAGAACAATACTAATTGCATTGAGTGTGATTCGGAAGCAACTAATTAATTTTCACCATGCCTAAGATCCAAAGCATACGATGCGTTGCCGGTGCGATGCAGGAGCGGTGCCGCTGCGTCATCTTACATAAATACCTATATGAGAATCTGTGGCGGGCACACGACGAAATCTTTGCACTGCCGCAACGCATCGTGTGCTTTAGCTCTAACTCAGGCAGCGTTAATAACACGTCAAAGTAAATAACTATCATAAGATATAATTAATTGGTAAAATAATTAAGATGTCTGCCCTCTGACCTTCAAGGCCTGACTTATCGTTTGTAAAGTCTTTCTCAACGATATTTCTGCAGTATCAATATCATAAAATTCCGTAGACTTTTATTTAATCAAAAAACTGTTTGTACTTTTAATAAATATGCGATTCGAAAAAAGGTGGGACCATTTTCATCGCAGTCTTATCTGCAATTTATTGACGCCGTTTTATTAGGTACCTATGTCTGCGTGAAAACATTATTACCAACATATTTTATTTAACATACTGAGAATACACGTATCAACTATGTATTATTTCTATAATAAAAAAAACTCATAGGTACAAAATCTTACTAAACAAAAATTTTCACTTGCATAAAATGTCACTAAGAAAGTGCTTTACTATACTAATATCTTTCAATTTAAGAGATAAACAAACCAATGAGATAATTTGTATCGGGACGAATCTCGCACTGAAGTCTAGGTCATTGCGTGACCTGTAGCATTGTAAGAGTTCGAAGATTAAAGTGACCTCTAAAGTGCTCTTGAATTGGTGCAGGGAGACGCTGGATACAAGCGGCCGATTGAATACCCCGTCCAAGGTCAATGGGGTAGCCAATCTTCTGGTCTAAGAGCCCGTAAACCCAGACCTTTGTTATTTTATTAAAGCTGATACTTGTGGTTTGTCAGCGCATGCTCCCAACATAGGTAAGAACGATGGACCATCAAAAAGTTTGGGTCGTCGTGAAAAGTCAAAGGGCTGCCCTACCCTGAAACGCTTATCTGGCAAGGGGGTTAAAATGGAGGGGGTACATAATCTAATTAGTATCTTTTATCTACCAAAATCTTATAACCCAAACTTCATGATGATCCATCGTTCTTATACCTACTCATATTATGTTAGGAGCACGCGATGACAATGTTTTTATTACGAATAGCTGAGGTTCACGGGCTCTTGCTCTCTCCAGCAACGCGTTTAAATTAGCTGTTGATGACCCTTCTAATATTATTAAGTTATAAGTGCAGTTCAATTATTGTCTGAGGCTTGAACATCTGGCGCGAATTAGAACAACTTCTCTAACGAAAGCGTCAGGATTGTAGTGGATTTTGGCCTTGACAATGACTTTTTGGGGGCCTTGACCTTATTATTGAGTAATAGTTTATTTGTTGTAACTCTGAAAAATAAAGTGCGACCCACTACAATATGATAACAGTTATGTACAGCGATATAACATAACCATACAATTAAACGTTGCGTTAGGTTATACAGAAGACTGAGGAGTATAACTTGCCACTATGCTTGGCGTTCGTGGACTATGAGAAGGCCTTCGATTCGATTGAGACTTGGGCAGTGTTACAATCTCTCCAGCGGTGCCGTATTGACTATCGGTATATCGAGGTGCTGAAGTGCTTGTACAAAAACGCCACCATGTNGTGTAGATATTATATAGAACCCCCTTAATAAAAACATCATGATAAGTAAAAAGGAGTAGCATCTTTTAATCTAAAATATTCTTTATTGCACTGCGCCCTGAAAATATATAAAAAGCAACTCTCTAATACTACCCGCACGTAGGTATGCGGGTCTCCGCTACGGCATCATCATGCAGGGTCACAGCTGTGATACTGCAGACCCATTCGTAGCTAAAAAATGTGTACGAATACATGTAACATAATTATAATAAAACAAAGATAGGATAGGATAATATTTCAGAATCTTGTCACAAATTGAAAAACATTCAATGTTTTTTTATGTAGAGATTTTAAAAAGTCTAGGTTGAACATGAAACAAAATTAACATCTTGTATGAAAATGTACCCAATAGGTACTCGTATAAAGGAGACATAAAATAATAATTTAAGTTTAATAACACAAAAGCTCTCAAATATAGGTATTCAAAGCGTGTTATGCCCGTTTCACCATCAATCCCTAATTTTTAAGTTACCTCTATGAAAACAAAATTCCTGTTATGTGTTACCATATGGGTCACTTAAAAATTAGGGATTGATGGTGAAATCGAGCATTAATATTTTAATGAATTAGGCACGTTTTTTTATTAACCTTCGGAAGGCAACGGGGGTGACCAGTCACCCCACTAGTTCAAAAAAGTCTTCATACGCTTAGTTGCAGTTGTTGTGTCTTTCTGTCGTTTGGTCTATTCTCTAATTGGAGGGAGAGCTATCAGTCGCATGCGTCAACATATCGCGTTAGGTTCATGTTTTTGATATTTTGACACTGCTGGGGTGACTCATCACCCCTGTTGCCTTTTAAGTATACTTTATTTTTTCGTGTTGCTAAAGTAAATGGTTGGTTTTGGAGTAAAAATGGCTATGTTTTCGGATGATCAAATCGAAAAATACTTTCATGGACTTGCTGATGTCAATTCCTTTGATAAACGCTGCTTAGATGATAATAAGATTTCTAAAATTGAAGACAATAATCTCAGTTCAGTCGGAGGAGGAATACTTAATTTCCTATAGCGAAAATTATTACGACGATGACGTTTTACTAGCACAATTCAAACAAAATGTGCTAATATGTAAGAACAGGCATGTTTGGTCTTCTTGGTTTCATCACCTTGGAGTCAAACACCTCGACGAAATATAGTAACTCTTGCGAGAGATGCGAGAATTATAGAGCAATTACACATGGCATTCTAAATAGGAACTAGGGACCTCCTGAGGGTGCACCTTCAGCAAAGTTATAGAAGCAGGCAAGGTGAGTCCTGTGTCAAAGAAAACTGAACAAAAAAGTTATGACATCTCGTATAAAATGTCAACTACCCTCATGCCCTGAAAATCGAAAAGACATTTGCTTTGACTGTGCTTTATGTTAAAAATTAATTTATTAAAAATATATACACTGTTAAATGAAAGCATTTTTAGTTTTATAATGAAACAAAGTAATAGATCTAATCATTAATAAGTTTGATTTTTCATTACAAAGCTATTTTATTTCAAATTATATTTGTGGGGTGACTGGTCACCCCTGTTGCCTTTTACGTATACAAAAAAAGTGTTGCCTGCCGAAGGTTAATATCATTAGTGCATCTTGTATCTTATTTTAAGATGTTTATAATGTTGTTTTCGGTTAATTAAGGTTATATTTTGTTGCAGTACATCGGGACAATGGACGTGCCCAGGCCGACTAGCCGCGTCGAGATCGTCGCGGCTATGCGTCGTGTTCGAGTAAGTATCCTTTATTTGATATTTTTAAATATCCTTTGTGGGTATAATATTTAAAAGACCATTTATTATTTTCATATTAGTATGAAATGAAAGTAAAATTATTGCAAGTAGAACCGAACTGTACTGTAACTGTGAATGAAATCGGATACAAAATGTTGACATAAATAAGCATTGAAAAGATTTAGTTATCATCCTCCTATTCAATTACAGACCGTATCAAATAATTATGCGAACCATAGGTATAACGAACATAAAATTTACAGTACTTAATAAATAAAATCATTTCTATGCGCTTAAATAAAAGGCTGAACATTATTTCTCATTTATAAGCCGAGTTTGTCTGATGGTTAAGTTTCAAGTAACCACGAGAAAATTATTATAAAAATGTGGCAATACTTTATTACTGTAAATAAGCTATGTGGTATGTCAAATCCTTTGTTTTCATTATGTTGATTTAAAGGAAATGTTTGTTTTTTATCGTTTAAAAGTCTAACACGAACTGATGACATTTCTACCAGTAGGTAAGTATTCCTACTTTCTTGTTTCAGCATAAACTAAGTTAGCTCTCTTGAATGAAATTAAACTGCACATTGAGTCAGTTAGAGTTAAGTGGCACATGACCGGTACAGTCCAAGTTTGTCGATAGATTCCTGAGTACCCGAAATCTTAGTAGAAACTTTCGCAATTACACATATACCAAAATGGTCTGGAACTTATTTTGGTAAACAAGGTAATGCTTTAGTATTGCTTGAAATAAAAAACGGTGGTGTACAAAAATCGTTAACAGGCCAATTGAAATGTACGGAATTCTCATTGTTAGCGTCAACAACAGCTCCCGATTACAAAACGTTCCAATTCTTTCTGGTACCAAACACCCCTGAGGGCGAATTTAATAAGAAGGCAGATTGTTCCTCCCAATATAGGAGCTCATTTGCTTCCCTTGTCAACTTCTATACGGCTTTGCCAGTTTAGAATGTAATAACGTCCTGTAAAAATGTCCTCACATGTTGCCCCAAAACAGTGCTTGCGTCTTTTGCTTATCGTAAAAATCAAATGACAAATAACAGTAATGAGGATCTTGTTCCTTGTTCTTTTATATTTTCACGGTTATTTTACAATTTAACATCCTTAAAACTAAATAAAATGTTTGTTTTTTTCAGCAATAACTACATTAAAGCCATAGATGTACATAATTGTGCTCTCCTTTGGCTTTGGTAACTGATGTTATTCCAACGTTTGTTTATTTTCAGATTTTATAAATACGGTTTTATTTGAAAACAAACATCAATCTGCAAGCAGTTATTTTTTTTTAATCAAAACCGAATTTTGTTTATCAAAACACAACTTGATTATCATCGTATATTCGTATAAAGGTATTACATAATAGAATTGTTTCATGTTCGCTATTATAAAAGTATGATTATACTCGTAATATAGCGCCAAAGCTACCAACATCATAATTTTTAGTGGAGCAAAAAGCAAAAATGAAACCGATAATGGACACTTAAATGAAAATAGAACAGTTATGAGCTCTCCTTGCGAGTATTTATGGAAAGTCACAGAGCGTTGTTAGTACACCGCGCCTTGACTTGCCGCTATAAATTGCACCGTCGTGGAAAAAGTCGAGTGTTGCTGCTAACAAACGACGTTGTATTGTCGAACATCAGAATTGCACCACCATCCCTACCTGACCTATTGTTATGCTTATGAAAGTGGAAATTCTAAGGCGAGTTGGCAAAGGCATTTTTAACCCTACACACTGTTACGTTTGAAGCCTTCGGTGTGTGGCTGTACTACGTGTTGCCTTTCAAAACGAATGGAAGGATTTTTAATGCAGCTTTTTATTTATTCGAATCAGCTTTAGCTTAGATTGATAGAATTTCACAAAATAAAATAATCGTCATGATACTTTAACTAGGTAGTAAGTAGATTTACCTAATATTCATACTGAAATAGACAATTTAGAGCAGTTATTTTTTAACACGCTTTTATTAGGTCGTCGTGTAACTATGTAATGGAATCTTAGAATTTGTATACACGCACTTCTAATTTTTGTATCCACATGAAACTTGGCAATTATTTATGTAGATTAGATGACAATACAATATTATGGTACCATCGAGCTGGTCTGATGAGGGGACTGGAAGGTGGCCATAGGAACTCCTTAACAAAACGGCGGAATCGTATCGAGTTAAGGTTCATTGGATTTGTCTTTTGAGTACTTTAAGTACTAGATGATGTCGAGGGACCTGATGATGGAGTCGGGAGGTGTCCATAGGAACTCCTAAACGAAACGGCGGAAACTCATCGAGTTTGGGTTTGGTTGATTTGCCTTTTCAAACACTTTGATGCTAGATAGACATCATCTAAGCTAACTCCTAAACGAAATATTGTCCTTTTAGTGTAGTAATTAATTTTAGTTTTTTAACTATTAATTTTTAGTCCATAGTGCATTAATTAGTACTAAGATTCGCACTAAACCCTTCATGCTGGTGTTAGCAGTGGGTTAACTCAATACCCTTGGATTTTGGTTTCAAACACAGGAATCATATACGGCAAAAATAAATGTAGGTCATTCCATTTAAATCTCAATTATCTATCGTCATAAATATCCAAAAAAATTACTTTGCTAACGAGCTTTCAGCTCAGATGTTGGTTAAAAAAGTAATATATCACCCAATTCTGGTCATCCCCATTGTAAAAGATCAAATCGCGATATGTCGTGGGGGCGCATTATTATCGGTTAAGCGAAGCGCGCGCCCGCACCGCGCTGAGCGATCGCGTTACATTGAAATATGAATATGACACGCGTCCTGACACCGCTTCCTCCTGAATATAAATGAATCACCCATCTATGCCGCTATGGAAAAATCGTGCAAGTTTTTTTATTATTTATAGAGGATACGAAAGATATTTTGGGCCCTAACACTATTAATGGCAAAGGTAATGTTGGACCTTTATGAAATGTCTTGGTTTTTTGCCTTGCCCTTTGGAATACTGACCCCTAGATACAATGTTGCCTACTCAAAAACAGATGGCTAGAACAACTTAACAAATGTTACTTAAGTCCCAAATTTACAAGTCTATTTGCATTTAATAAGACCAGATTGCGCATACCATTAAGTCATCTCGTAAAATATTCACTGAAATACTTAAAAGAGACCAAATTTTGTGACATAATTTGATTATTCAACGTGATTAACTATTAGGAAGGCGAATGTTGTCTGAATTGATATGGAAATAATTCGTTTAGTTAACACCAGACGCTGCTAAGAAACGGGCTAAGCTCCTGAATTTGTCACTGTCACAGACCATAACGTAACGATAAACATGATAAATAGCTTTAGGTATTTGTTGCGGAAACCCTTTTTAGGGTGAAGGTAAAATTAAATGATCAAAATGCTAATATTATGTAGCTATGAATATATTATTTACTTTCTTCTCGCCTACATTTTTAATAGAATGGTGATATTTGGTGGTAATCGATTATTAAATATGAATCTTGTGGTGTCTTCAAATTTTACTTATTTTTTATTTTTATTTTTTATTTTATTTTATTTTATTAGGGACAACAAACAATTGTACAAACGGTTTTACAAAAAGTCTTACAGATATATCTTAAATAAATGCACAACCAGCACCGTTATCCACGAAAATAACAAATAGAACAGCTACTAAGGTCGCACACGTTTGAAGAAATTATTTGACTAATTTTAAGTTTATGACAATAAATTCCATGCAAATTTTAAGTTTGGTAAGTTAAAATTGACAAGTTCTAGGACAAAAGTCAGGAAACAACCGTATTACCAATTATTTAAGTTGGCTTAGTGCAGTTATATACATTACATATTATTATACCTACAGTCAAGGCCATACGGCAAGCACCGATCATACAACAGAAAACGAAAATGGCAGACAAGGGAAATGCAACAAGTTAAAGGACTTAATACGGCAAAGATTTAAGGATTTAAATAATTGTATCCAACAATAATATAACATTACTCTTAAATTTACTAGGCGATAAAGCAAATAAATCCAGATTAAAAAAGTATTGATTGTATGATTTCATAATTCTCCTCAACGGAGCCCGCTCTCCGGCGTGTGTTCTTGCGAATTTAGGTTCAAACAGACGAAGGTTTAATGTACTACAAGAACGGCCTATACGGCTCGGTACTCTGTATTGAATTTGATTGATAATGTCAGTACAATCAAATTTATGGTGGCAAATATTGTATAATATCATTTGATCCAAGAGCAATCTCCTCTTAAAA